CGCTCTGCGGTGGTGGAGGCGTGCCGAGGGGCGCGGAGATACCATTCAGAACTTCTTGAAGAGTTATCCGCTCGTCGTGTTTGTGAGATTGATTGATCGTATATCCCCTCCCTTTCGCAGTCGAATAATTCCATTCCGCTCGCATTATCATTTTTCCCGTGACTTGTCCACGAGCGCGAAGGCGCATCGATCTTTATTTTTCCCGACCTTTTCTTGTACTTTTCTTGGGGACTGTCCTCTGGCATCCCTTTTCCCCCCCTTCTTCCCCAGTGAAGGTTGGGGTGCATTTATCACTCCTCTTCGAGAAGCGCGTCGCTGGAGAGGGTATCCAGACCACAAAGTGGTCACACCTTGGGTTTCGCCAAAACATGTCGAAGCAATACCACATGGTTTCCGTCACAGTTACTGTAAAGTACCAAAATCGAAACGAATTAAGTTACACTCATTTGATTAGCGCATAACGCAGAATTGTAACTCTGCTGAAAGTTAGGTTTCTGGTCGCTGGCAAACACACGTAAAGTTGGTCGCGACAGAGAAGATTGCTTGCGCAGGGGGTGCACCGTGACACGTTGCATCCGAGAGCTCGCGCCGAGAAAAGAGGGGTGCCGTTAGTGAACTTCCCTGCTTCCCCGGCGCGACGCCCGTCTCGAAATCACGACAGAAATGCGAAAAACCGACGTCGAGGAAACATGTTTCGGCCGCCTGGAGTCGGAGCCAAAGGCACTGGCGGGCGGTCGACCGTCACTGCGGGTCGACCAGAGGTCAGCCGACGCCTCGGGCCGAAAAAAACCGCGCGGAAATCGGCCGTCGGGCGGCGAGAGGGCGGCGAAGAGCGGACCAGCGGAAAAGTCGACCGCGCCCGGGGATCGAAGCGGGGACCGCGGCCCAGCTGAGCGCTGCGCCACGCCACGCCACGCCTCGGCACCGCACGGCCGCTAGGCCCGCCCGGCCCGCCCGCCTGCCTTGTGGCCAGGGCCCTTTTGGTCTGTAATTACGGGCGGGCACATGACAGATTTAAGGGGTTTGGACTGGCGTCCAAGTGAGTGGGGTTATGTATATTTTTATTTAGTTTGTTCTGGCCAGCGGCTGCGCTACGCCGCGGCACGGCGCAAGCTATGTGCCGCGGAGGACTACTTTTTACTGCTCGTAAAATGTGACATCATTACCGGGTAGATGGACACCGTGAGAAGAGAATCTGCATTTTGATACATTAATGTATATGGACATTGCAATATGCACATGATTATGTGTCTTTCCTAGATTTATTCGTATTTAATTGGAATATTCACGTTTTCTAAACAGTACAGTGGATTGACTGAAAGGCCCGTGAGTGGTTAGTACAGCCTCAGTCAGTCTAGTTTCGACACGTCAGCAACAGCACTCGTATTAAAAATGAGAATACCGCTCAGGGGCGAAATAAGTCTATGATAGCGCGATTTCTCATAGTAGCAGGCCGGCCGGGCCCCGCAGCCACGGGCGAGGACTGGCAGGAAGGCAACCTGTTTGCTCGGCCCTGACGGGGTTCACGGCGGCGGTCGGGAGCGGCGAGGCCTCGGCAGGGGCCCGGCCAGGCCCCGACAAACACACATGCGCAACCCTTCCGTGAGCACTGGGGCCCTTTCGAGGGACGCGCAAAGGACCTGTCGAAGACGGGGAGGGGGAATCAGAAGGGCCTGTGATCGGCAAAGAAAATACGCAGCACGACGACGCGAAGCAAATGGCGTGCGGGCATGAGTTTGGTTCGGGCCGGTTTGGGCCACGACGAAAAGTCCCTTCCCCTTGCGGATCGTCCCCTCCCGCTGCGCCGCGCTGCGCCAAGGGCCTCGGGGGAAGGCTACTGCCCCCTGATCGAGCTATAACCACTTTGCGCGAACATTAAGCCCCTCCGGGCAGGCCGGGCCGCCTGCAAGGTCACAGAGTGTCACCGGGGGCCCCGGGCCGCCGCCGGGCGCGGGTCCGACACTTCTTCTCGCGTGCTAATCGCCTCGGGGAGAAGGTCAGGTCGGGTCGGGGAGGATTGCACCATCGAGTCCGGCTGCAGCCCCACCGGGCCACCGCGGCGCCCTCCGCGGCGCCCTCCGCGGCGCGGGCAAGGGCAACACCAACCCCCGGCTCTGGCACGGACCGAGCACCGCGGCCGCCGGCCGCCAAGACACGCGCGAAAATAGTCATGGAAAGACGCTCTTCGGGGGGCCGTTCTCCTCAGGATCAAGGTCTTGCAAACGTCCATTGCGAGTTGCGCCGCGGGCCGGCGTGGGAGAAAGAGACGGGGCGGGGGGAAGCGGAGAGGGGGTGAGAGAGAGAGGGAGGAAGAAGACGAGGAGGAGGAGGAGGCGGCGGAGGAGGCCAGCGGCCCGGCGCACGAGAGTTCATGAACCCGACCACCACCGCAGCGGCGCACCGCGTCAACAGCCCGCGGGGGGTGATGGTGGGTGATGGTAACGGGCGATGGTAGCGGGTGATGGTAACACACTCACCTGAGTAGCATCTGAATATGGTGTGGAACTGTTTCTGTCGACAAGCTGAGATCCGAACATGGGTAATCCTGATGTGCTGGGACTGGCGCTGCTAGGGCTCCGGCCCGAATCCCCGATGTGCTGGGGCACCATTTTCAAAACATTCGACGAGTCGATCTTCGTGGCTTGAAGAGCGAAAATCCGAAACCGGCTTCTTCGCGGACACTTAAACAGTTGTATTAAGGGAGTCCGAAAACTTTGACTTTGATCCCAGGACACGACAGGGTACTGGGGCAAAGGCTTTTTCAACTCTTGGTCACTCACTCACTTTGCACACAATTAGAAATACTAATTTCACTCCCTAGCGTAAAGTCTGGCACGACTTGTTTATGTTCTGACTTAGGTTTGGCAGTCACGGCAAAGATCTCGCACTTACAGCCTCCTTGGCGCAGTGCGGAAAAACTACCGGATTGCGACCAGAAAACGGGGTCACAAAAAATGGATGGGCGCGCGGGTCTTTTGGTTTTTGGCGAAAAAACGAGGACAGGGCAGTGAGCTGACGTTCAGAACTGCTTGTGCATGATCCTCTGCTCCGACGCGAATACGAGCTCAGCACGCTGAGAGCACCGTCACCATAGCTGCGCAGGATGCGCACACCGACCGCCACCGTCCAACGAACACTGAGTCGCGTGGGGATGTTGTGGCTCCGCTCCGCGCCGCTCTCCGCGCCGCGCCGCGACCACCTTGTCCCCCACCACCGCGGCCGGGGCCCCCACGTGACCGCGCCCGACCAATGGGGGCGCGGCTGGGCGCGCGGCCGCGGCGGCTGCCCGCGGGCGGGCCAGGCCAGGCGTCCGCGCGGGATAACGTCGAGACCGCCACGGCCTGTGGAGTGTTGTCGGTGCGAGCAGCGGGCGGAAACTCCCGGGGGTGAGACTGAAACCAGGATCCGCCCGGCGCGCCAGAGGCGCCGTGGTTAGCAGACGAACTAATCAGCCCGCCTTCGTAGTTAATTTTGGTCTAAAGTGACATTATATTTAACGCATGGAGAATAAATGGGGTACCAAAACGAAGCTAAAAGTCCAACGAATGTTTCTGTTTAGTCGCCTTGTTCCAAATAACGGCCCCGTGTTTTTGCAATGATAAAATCGAGAGGCTTGATTCCCCGACGCCGCTCAGTCTCCGATTCTGTTTCGTTTAGTTCTCAGTTCTAATCCATTTTTGACCCAAACCTTAAACGTGCCGATTATTCTTCACAAATTGGCTCGTGGCGTAGGCCACATGAGATGTTGCTCCGACTTACATTGAAACAGAAATCTTTGATAATGTGATGAGACAAAATGGCGTCTGCTTTTCACTTTCACTTTCGACATTAAAAATAAAATATAAACGTCGGAAGTCAGAAATGCATACATGGCCTACGCCACGTAATTTTTTTTAAAGATTCATAATCCATCCTGGTTATTTAATGATGATGCAGGATTTGCTGAAGCTAAGCGGATTAAACACATCGTACACAAAGAGGCTAAAGTGCACCGGTTATCGGTTTTCCTTAATGTGAGATAATTGCGAGTCTATAGCACTGGAGAGTACTTGAAATTACATCTCCTAACATGCCGTCGTGCATTTCAGTCCTGATCGGTTCACAAAACTCATTTGAAGTAATTTAAATTAAATTCACAAATCCTGTGTCGTTAAACACCTTTCGAAGCGACTTGGGCTGGTGCCGTCTGGAGAGCGGTATGGAAAATTCAGCGCTCGGAACAGCTTTGTTTACTTTCCGCAGCTCAAGCATAAGCAAACCTGGACCTGTTGGTTAGGCTACAAGATGGTTAGTGTTGTATTTATTTATTTTTATCTTATTATTATCACTAGCAATTCGACTTTGCGATTGATATACTTAATCATTCTGCAGGATCTGCAGGACGAAACAAACGCACCAACGAGGCGAAGGAGAGGGAAAGGAAAGAGAAGACTTGTTGGACGTAAGCCTAAAACAGTCAGACCTTCATCAAGCAGTCAAGAGAACAAGGTTTGTTTGTGGTTTTTGGAAGTGCGACCCCTTCTCTATGATTTAAAAAAAACTGTATTTTTTATTTTCATCTCAGGATTCACCAGCCTCCGAGGGTACCGCTGGCAGTAGCAGCAATGTTTGTGATTCAGAGAGTGATGCAACATATACGGACTCTGATTCTGATGGCTCTGATACAGGACATGTTAGTGTTGCTAATGTTTTGGTCTTCAAATCTTTTAAACACCTGAGCCAGAGCACATTCTTGGTTTTACTCTGATTTTTGCCTTTTCTTTTTAGAAAACCTGTAAGAAATCTGTAAACGAGCCCCATCTCTGCTCTGAGACTGAATTTTTTTCAGAGACAACAGCGTCAGAACAGACAGTCAATGAAACTGATTTTGAAGAGGTAACTACAGCAATGCACATCAAATGCAGGTCATAAAGAGTTAACAGTCTTTTTTTTATTGTTTGAAGTTAACCTTCTCTTCTTTTGTGTTTACAGCAAACAGAAGTACGGAAAAGGCGAAAACATGTACCACAGTTAGCCTATAGAAGAAAACATGCAAGTAGACGAGTACGTTATTAAGCTCTATATTGTTAAATTACAAGGTGTGGAAGCACAGATATGTAAAATATTTTTTTATCTATCCTGTAGGTGGTTCCTCCTGAATCAGAATCTGAAGAGGAAGGTGAAAGACATGCTACAAAGAGTTCGGACTCAGCAGGGGAGTTATCTGTTACTGAAAGTTCCAGCAGTGAAGAGGAAAACCAAGATGAAAAAGTGAGTAGCATGCAGAAAAGATGTATTTAAAAATTGTTTTGTGTGAATTAAAGTAGAACCAATTAATTAAATTACTAACTTCTCACTTTCAGTTGGAAGAAAATGTTACTCGTTCTCATTCTGTTGATGCAAATGAAGGGCAAACTGGAGCAAGGAGTAAAGGACCTGCTTCTGAGACAGAAGGAAGTAATGTGAGTAAAATTAAAAAATCTGTTGCCTAATTTGTTAAAAGGTTTGTCTTTTTAAAAATTGTTTTTATTTATT